CTAATATTGTAGACCAGGGATGTCAAACTCAGTTCCTGGAGGGCCAAAGCCCTGCTCTAGAGTTTAGCTCCAACTCTAATTGAACACACCTGAATCAAGGTATTCATTACTAAAGGTAGGAGTGTCGGATCTAAATTCTGCAAGACTGTGAAACTCCACAATCTGAGCTTGACACCCCGGTTGTAGACGTAAATGGCAGATTTGGGCCATTGTTACTTTGTTTTACTGTTGCTTTTTATTGGGGGTTAACAAGTATTTGTCTCTTTTCGCCATAGACCTGATGGCACTGAAAGAAGAGAGTGAAGAACTGAAGGAAATGCAGGATAAAGATAAGTGTAAGAAATACAATGATTCCATAACTGGACAAACATCATTTAGTTGCTCATGTAAAAGAGCTCAAAAGACCGAAACGAGAAGTCATTTCACCTGCCAACAGTGTGGAAAGAGTTTCAATCTACAAGGAAACCTTAAAGTCCACATGAGGATTCATACCGGTGAGAAGCCATTTACCTGCCAGCAGTGTGGAAATAGTTTCAGTCAAAAAGCAAGCCTTAAAAGCCACATGAAAGTTCACACTGGAGAGAAACCTTATACATGCCCTCAATGTGGAAAGAGTTTTACACACAAACATGCTTTTAATGCCCACATGAAAATTCACACTGGAGAAAAGCCTTTCACCTGCCAACAGTGTGGAAAATGTTTCAGTCAAAAAGCAAGCCTTAAAAGCCACATGAGAGTTCACACTGGAGAGAAACCTTATGCATGCCCTCAATGTGGAAATTGTTTTCCACATAAACATACTTTTATTGCCCACATGAAAATTCACACTGGAGAAAAGCCTTTCATCTGCCAACAGTGTGGAAAATGTTTCACTCACAAAGGAAACCTCAAAAATCACATGAATGTCCACACTGGCGAGAAGCCTTACACATGCTGTCAGTGTGGAAAAAGTTTTACTCAACGAGGATGCATTAACAAGCACATGATGATCCACACTGGAGAGAAGCCTTTCACTTGCCAACAGTGTGGAAGAAGTTTCAATCAAAAAGGACACTTTAAATACCACATGAGAATTCATACCAGAGAGAAGCATTAAACCTGCATCTGGAAAAGATAAATGTAAAAAAAGCTTCACAACAAAACCAAACCTTAGGTATCACATGAACAGAAGCCATTTACATGCAATCAGTATGAAAAGAGCTTCAGACATAAAGTAACAGGCTTCACAATGGAGAGAGACCTTTCACGTGCAAAATGTTTCACACATGAAAAAAAAAAATTAAACATCATTTGCAGACTCATTCTGGAAAATTATTGCCGTTCTTCTCAGTGTTACAAGAGGTTTACAAAAAGGAGCTATTTCAGAAATGACAGTGCTAGAAGAGAGATGTGGCCAAAAGCAGGTCATTTGTAACTTTAATAAGCAGTTTTTGTGCAATGGTGGGCATTAAATGTTGACTGTAATTCTTCAAAAAGCTTCACAACAAAACCAAACCTTAGGTATCACATGAACAGAAGCCATTTACATGCTATCAGTATGAAAAGAGCTTCAGACATAAAGTAACAGGCTTCACAATGGAGAGAGACCTTTCACGTGCAAAATGTTTCACACATGAAAAAAAAAAATTAAACATCATTTGCAGACTCATTCTGGAAAATTATTGCCGTTCTTCTCAGTGTTACAAGAGGTTTACAAAAAGGAGCTATTTCAGAAATGACAGTGCTAGAAGAGAGATGTGGCCAAAAGCAGGTCATTTGTAACTTTAATAAGCAGTTTTTGTGCAATGGTGGGCATTAAATGTTGACTGTAATTCTTCAAAAATTACTACAGCTTCTCTGCAAAAAAAAAAATAAAAAAATGATAGACTATTTAATGTAGGTCTAATTAAGTCTAAGGTGTCCCCAGAATGTGTCTGCGGACACCTTAGAATGTCATTTTAGCTCAAAATAATTCATAGTAATTATTATTATTTCATGCTGTAAACACCTTTCTTGGGTGGAAGCATAAACACAGTTTTCTCATGCGTCTCATTAAATGCCAATGAGCTGCTGTTCCCTGCCCCCTTTTCAGAAGAGGGCCATGCCTTTACAACAACAAACAAAACGTCTGCATGCGTTTTAAAGCCTTGTCAGTTCATATACAAACAAAGTTATGTTAAAAACAGAAAAAACTCACGTTCAAATAGTCAGGGTTTCCACGGGGACTTAAAGGGTTAGTTCACCCAAAAATGAAAATTAGGCTGCGTTTTACTCACCCCCGAGGCATCCTAGGTGTGTATATGACTTTCTAGCTTGTGCTCACTGTTGTAAACAGAAGCAGTTCCGGGGGAATTACGTATGAGGTCGGCTTGGCGCACGCGCCGCTCAGAAGTGACGACCGTGGAAGCGCAACGGAGAGACCAAAACAACGGTCACTAATTAGAAGTACAAAACGAGGATTTGTAAAGAAGAATGTCAGAGGATTTGGATATAAGCCAAGAGGAGACTGGTTTTCCTTTGCTAAAGTAAGGAAACTGCTTCCTTTGCTCCTGTAAACAAACGTTGGTTTTCACGAGACTCACCGGCGCATGCGCAGCACTAACCTCATACCTCATGCTCCCGGAGCTGCTTCTGTGTACAACTGCTGGCTCAAGCTAGATTAAAGTGATTATTGCGTTTTGAATATGGATCTTTTTCTCACAAAAAAACGCATCGATTCGCTACAGAAGGCCTTTGTTCATCCCCCGGAGCCATGCGAGACACTCTTTTTTTTAATGGATGTGCGATTTTTATTTAAGTTCTTTTGGACTGAGGCAATGCAACACCACCCGCTGAGTGGCAATAAACAGCTTGAAAGTTCAAAGATGATTTTTTTATATAACTCCTCGACTGGATTCATCTGAAAGAAGAAAGTCGTATACACTTGGATGCCTCAGGGGTGAGTAAAACACAGCCTAATTTTCATTTTTGGGTGAACTAACCCTTTAAAAAGTTGTATAAAATTTTATGGCCAAGTGTGAGACCAAAATTTTTATTTTAGCTTCTTAGACATCCTAGCTTAGAAATTAATTAGCATTTAATACTTAGAAGCGCATTTAGGGGACACATATGTTGAACATGCATTATAATTGGATGAGATGGAAGCATCCTGGTATGATTAGGGTATAAATACTGAGTCAGACTGTTATCCGGGGTCGCACTCTGCAGCCATGACTGTAATAACTGTATGTCACCTTTTCTTGCAAGAAAATAAATCTTTAAAAGACTATTGTCTCATACCTTCATTGTAATAGAAAATTGCCACGACAATACAAGAAAGTCTTAATTATGATTTCCAGCGGTCTTAAATTTGGCGACGGAAACACAAGAATTGCGATATAGCTGTGACGATTACATTTCAAAAGGCTATGATTTTGCTGGCAGAGAATGAATTTGCATTTTCAATAAGACCGTCTGCTGTTGTTATATTTTTATGCAGCAAACATGCAGTTGTAAATGTGAACTGGTGAATCGATAAGAAGCTAATGCTAATGCATTAAAATAAATCTAAACAATTAAATTTTATTAGGTTAATATAATAATTGACTGGTAATGTTTAAATAAATGTAATTCATTTGACTGATCCCTTTTCTGATTTATAGGCTGAAATGTGAAGTTTATCATTTTATAAAACTTTTTGCTTTTGTGAAAATTTGTACACACGCTTGAGGTATTCGGCCAATCACAACACACTGGATAGCTGGCCAATCACAGCACACCTCGCTTTTCAGACCGATGAGCTTTGTATAAATCGACGCATTTCAGAAAGGCAGGGCATAGAGGAGAAACAATAATGTACAGTATGTGGAAAATAATGTGTTTTTTGAACCTTAAACCGCATAAGCACATTTCATTACACCAAATACACAAAATAATGTTCTTTTTAGCAACATCACATGACCCCTTTAAGGTTTTTGAGGAAAACATTCCAAGATTTTTCTCCATCTAGTGGACTTCAATTTGACCCAAAGGGTTGAATATCCAAATTGTAGTTTCAGTGCAGCTTCAAAGGGCTCTACACGATCCCAGCCAAGGAATAAGGGTCTTATCTAGCGAAAGATCGATCATTTTCTAAAATAAATTTGTATACTTAACCACAAATGCTTGTCTTGCACTAGCTCAACCTCATGTATTACTTAATCACATGTGCGTGACATAGACGAAAGTACCGACCCAATGTTTACAAAGCAAATGTGCAAAGAAAGTCAAATATCCCATACAAAAAGGGTAAAACAACAATGACGGGCTTTTTTGAAGTTGGAGGAGTTTTTCCACCCTACCCTATCTTTTTGAACCGAAGTACAGAGATGAATGCGTGAAGACGTACATACGCAACGCAGAGCTAGTGTAGGACGAGCATTTGATACTGAAATTTGGACCTTTAACCCGTTGGCCGTCATTGAGGTCCATTATATGGAGAAAATTATTGGAATGTTTTCCTCAAAAACCTTAAGTTCTTTGCGACTGAAGAAAGACGTGAACATCTTGGATGACATTGGGCCAAGTAAATTATCAGGAAATGTTTATTCTGGAAGTGAACTAATTCTTTAAACAAAGGTTTAATTGCCAGTTTTATAGTTTTTGAGACATGCCTTAAAGTGAGAAAGAATTAGCAACATTGGGAAGTGATTCTCAGATTACATGTAACGCCTCTTTTTAGTTGCTTAGTGGGTATACGATCTAGTTTTATGTTGGTTTTGACACTTTACATGTCTGAATATTTTGACATCTGTTGCTTTGTGCCATTAAATTGGGGTTCATTTTTATTTTGTCTTTTTTTCGCCTTAGACCCGATGCTGCTGAAAGAGGAGAGTCAAGAACTCAATGAAATGGAAGAGGAAGATCAATATAAGAATCAACGTGATTTTATAACTGGAGAAAAATCTTTTAGTTCACAGACTGAAAAGACAGGAAGTAGTAGTTATTTCACCTGCCAACAGTGTGGAAAGTGTTTTAGACAAAAGCAAGGTGTTAAAAGACACATGAGAATTCACACAGGAGAAAAGCCTTATGTCTGCCAGCAGTGTGGAAAGCATTTCAATCGAGAAGTAACTCTTAAAAGACACGTTAGAATTCACAATGGAGAGAAGCCGTACACATGCCAACAGTGTGGAAGGAGTTTCACTCAGCTTGGAAACCTTGGAGTCCACATGAGTGTTCACACTGGAGAGAAGCCTTACAAATGCCAACAGTGTGGAAAAAGTTTCAACCGGAAAGGAAACCTTCTTTCCCACATGACCGTTCACACTGGAGAGAGCCTTTTCACCTGCCAACAGTGTGGAATGAGTTTCACTCAAAAAGAAAGCTTTAACAGACACATGAGAGTTCACAATGGAGAGCAGCCTTACACATGCCAACAGTGTGGAAAGTGTTTTGTTCAACATGAAAACCTTAAAGTCCACATGAAAATTCATGGAGGGAAACCCTACACGTGCTCCGAGTGTGGGAAGAGTTTCCGTCAAAAACGACACTTTGAAGGCCACATGAGAATTCACTCTGGAGAGCAACCCTACACATGCCCTCAGTGCGGAAAGAGTTTCAATTATAAACAACACTTGGAAGACCACATAAGAACTCACACTGGAGAGAAGCCTTTCACCTGCCAACAGTGTGGAAGAAATTTCAACCGGAAAGATACCCTTAACAGGCACATGAGAGTTCACACTGGAGAGAAGCCGTTTACATGTGGTCACTGTGGAAAAAGTTTCGGACATAAAGCAGCTCTAAAGGCCCACATGAGTTTTCACTTATAAGGGAGCTCTTTTTATGTCATCAGTGTGGAATTGTGGAGAGTTTCACGGACAAGAAACATCTTGGGTATCATGTAATAACACCAGACAAACGACTTTCATGTGCCATCACTGTGGAAAGACTTGCAGAAACAAGGCAATCTTGAGGTTCACAGAAGCGCCCCCCGATATAGCGGCGGATTTGGGCCTTGTTTACACCTGGATTTAAAATGTGTTTTGGTTGATCGGATCTCAAATTAACTGTCTATTTTTTCAAGTGTGGGGAGTCATTGTGTGGGTAAATGCATGGGTTTTTCAGATATTTTGATCAATTGGATAAAACACATTCACACAATTTACATGTAAACGTGAAATGAGACAATGGAAAAAGATAAGGAGAGCAGCAGCTTTCGTTTCTGCTCTGATAGCGGCAAAACCACACCAAATGCTGTGGATGCATGTTAGAAGTGAGGATTGGCAGAGAACATTGTGCTTGGTACATTTTGCATCATTATGAATTATTACATTTTGTGGAAAGGGGGTTGTCATCTTGGCTGCTGTTCACTACATCATGTTCACCATACCCCCGGGATTTTCTTAACTGTGTTTTCCACTGATGCTGCCTTGAAGTGTGAGTTCACCCGCAAATGAAAATAGTCATTATTTACTCTTTCTCATGCCTGTCAGACTTTGTTCCGTGTTTTGTGTGTGTTTTGCTCCCCATGTGCCCTCCTTGCCCATATTTGGTTAGTTTCCTGTTCCTGTCCTGATTATGTTGATTTAATTCCAGGTGTTCCCCGTTTATTTCCATTGATCCCAGGTGTGCCTCATCATCCCCTTGTCTTGTCATGTGTTTAAATAGTGTTCACTGTTTATAGTTCAGCGTCCGTATTGCCCATGTCTACATGTGCTACATGAGTTTTCCGTGTTGCCGTGATTAAAGCTCTCTTGATTGATGTACTCCTCGTCTCCCTCTGTTCCTTGCTCCGCACTCCACTCAGTAGTGCAACCGTGACAGAATACCGGACCCAAAAAAGATGATTGCAGCTGAGGACGCACTGTGGGTTTTGCAGCAGGGTGGTCTGGGGTTGGAGCGATATGTGGAGGGTTTTCTCGAGCTCTCTGACCGTGTGAGCTGGCATGATGCCGCTCTAGGTGCGTGCTTCCTGCTAGGGTTGGATGACGAGATAATCCGCTGCGATCTTCCTCTGATCGAGCTGATTAATCTCGTGCTGTTCTTAAATGGTTCAGAAACTTCCCAAGACTTGTCATCCAACGTGCCGCGTCTCCCCAGCTCACACCACGCTGAGAACCTCCATATACCACTCCAACGGCTCCTACCGCCTGCCAAACCCCAAATTCACCGCTGTCCTCCGAAGCTCCACCCTAGTCGTCAGCCCAGTACCAAGTCAGACCCGCCGGCTGCACTGTTGTCAAGCCCGCCGGCCGCTATGAAGTCAAGCCCGCCGGTTGCCCAGTTCATCTGTTCATTCTAGCCCCAGAGCTCGCTCCAGTGTCGGCTCCAGTCCCAGAGCTAGCTCCAGTGTCGGCCCCAGAGCTCGCTCCAGCCCCTGAGTTTGCTCCAGTGCCAGTTCCTCGAAAGCGCTTCCCAGTTCCCCAATCTAGCCCAGTGAGGGCTCCAGTCCCCTGTCATGGCCCACGGAGGACCTCGGAGCCCGTAAGCGTCCCCAAGTATTTTTTTTGGAGGGGGGAGGGTCAGGCCGTAGTAGGGCTCCAGCTGTAGAGGCCGGGGGCTGGGGCTGCAGCCTCGGAGGCTGCTTTGCCATGGCATCCGAGTCTACCTGCTCCGCCATTACGACCCGAACTGCCAGATCCGCCATGGGTCCCGGAACTGGTATCGCCCTGGAGGCCTTCCGTCCATTAACCCTGTTCCTAGAGGCCTC